TGAGGAAAATAAAAGATAAAGACTCAACAATTGCTGCTAAAGTAAATAATCGCAGAATATAATATTGCTTAGAACAATTGTGCTTGATAGCGTACAAGAATTGAGAGAGATGGTACCGTAGTGTAATGGTTTCCGATCCCCTCTTTATGGGGTCTTCTCCCCTTTTATACATTCTGATTAAGGGTAAAAATAAGGTAGGTAAATTAATTACATCGTGGATCCCTGTAATTACGCCTTAATGGCCTGAAGTGGTTGAGAAAATCACGTTTGGGCGAGATATCCGGCGATGCTTGGTTATCCGTTACGAGTCCGGCTCCCGACCTTGTGTGTTTCTCCATCCGGTGGTGACTCATATCGAGCTCTGCAACGGTCTCGAAATGACTCGACCTCGGTTGTTGACGTGGCCGTCGTTCTACCTTGCATCCAGGTCGGGTTCGATGGCCCCGACTTGCCCCGGACCGGACCCAACCCGGTCGGGCTCAAGCAAAAAGGGTATCACCCAATACAAATATGTGCATGAATCAGTTTTGTGTGGAACGGATTCTTATGTATCGCTTTTAATTATTATTTTTAAAATCCATAATACCTTTAATTGTAAATCAATATTGCCAGATATTTTAGCAGAAAATATGAGTTTCATAATCAATGCACCAAACGGAGAAATCTGTTGAACCCTCATTAGGCTCGAACGATTTCACAGGTTTCCAGTGACAAAACAGAAGTGATACATCATAAATAAATGTATATGTATATGATAAGAAATCATAAGTCTTTCTTTTTCCTTTATCATTACTTCTAACTTCTAAGAACTCAAAAGCAACTAAGAGTTCAATAAATGTACGTAATCCGTATAGATTTTGTATATCTGGACTAGTTCATTTTCATTGAACATCTAAGAATAGGAGTAAACATGTCCTGAATTATTAAAAACTAAATAGTGGTTGACCCAACCGCTTAAATTAAATATAGCCGATGACATATATATAATATATGTATAATTCATGTATGATATAGCATATATAATCGTGTATAATTAGTGTATATTCTATGTATACTGCTAAGGAAAAGTAAACAATATAAATTCGGCTATTTATGTTGAAGATCGTTACACAAAAAGCCATAGGTATTACAATTACTTATCTCAGGCGGTATATATACATATATTATACATGGAATAATTACACACACATATATATATATATATACACATCCGCCAGACAATTTTTAGTATAAGATGTTGGGTGGATAACTATTTATGTTCATTCATGGGGTTAGTAGTAGAGACTTTGTTTACCCCGCTCCTCCCGCGCCCAATGTTGAATTAAAAAAAATTGTTGATATTTTAAGTTAGCCCGTGGTCGACAACTATTTACATTCGATAGCCGCAAAAATATATAAAATTTATATATATATATATATGTGTGTGTGTGTGTGCTGGCTTTTTAGCCAAACTGCTAAGGAGGAAAGCAAACTTTAAATAAATTTATTTCAAGGGCCAGCTTAATTTTCACCCTAATAATCGCACTTGAAACGGTAAGTCAATTTTTTGTTATGAATTGTCATAGTCAAATTCCCTTCATGATCCTATTAAACATGTCTCTCACTCTCGTTCAGTTACTCGCTCACTCATGACTTGATGTGATTAGCTTAATTAGGAAAATTAATACAAGAAAAAATGGCTTTTAATGACCGGAAAAATGGAGTCCCTAAAAGTTATCAAATAATTCGTCCACGGACATCCTCATTCTTATCATAATTGTGAAATATGTCTATTGGTTTGGTGTAAACATCCGATGCGAGTAAGTTTTTACCTATCTGGATAATTAAATATTTATCCTTGACAAAAAGGCAAACTAAAAATTGGATTTTATTAAATTGATTAGTCTCACAGAAGACAGTTAGAGTTCATTCTTATGACGGTAGGTAGCTCATTTACAACCACCCATAATTATGTGTAGGAATGAAGGGATATGCTTTTAAATAAAATGTCTTGATCGAGATAGCTGTTTGTTTGCAAGTTGCAACTATCCCCATTATTATGCTACACAGCCGAAAAAATTATACAATATTGTCAGCTTTATGCCTTTAAATTGTTCTACTTCTCACCTTTGAAACAGTTTCTTCAATTATTGATAATTAGTTTAATTTATATCTTGAAAGGGGACAAGAACAACAATTTAATGTAGCTTTAAATTTCTAGGTTTCTCTTGGAAAAGGTGTGAGCTTGGCAATAAATTGTGGTTTCAAACTAGGATAGGAGAAAAGAAAAAAATTGCAGTAAATTAACGGCCAAAAGTAAGAGTACTTAATTAGCTCTAGCCATGGCGAATCCTTTTAATGACCTGATTAAGCAAAGTGATAACAGAATATTCATATACCGACTCTGACTAGTTTGGACTTGAAATGCAGTTAACTCCTTGATTGATTCAAAAAGTAAAAGAAAAGAAAAGAAAAGCCTACTTGATTTGGCATTCATAAGGATTAAGATACTACGAATTCATTTTGAACTTCCTTATCAAAACAAAAAGGGGCAAAATTAATAAATAGCCAGATTTACAACTGGTAATTGAAAAATAGTCACAATAAAATAATCGAAAGTTAGCCATTTTATTTCATGTAAAGATAAAATCTAAACAAAAACACTCTTAAAAATTCAAAATATTCCAACATAGTAAATTGAAGTTTGAATTTTTTACATATGAGCTTCCAGCATAATGTGCTGAAGTTCCAACATAATATGCGGGAAGTTTATATGCATGAACTCCATAATCCCTCCATAATCCCGCATATTATGCTAGAACTTTCCCTGTGCTGGAGTCCTAACATAATGTGCAGGAAGTTTATACACAAGAGCTTTATAATCCCACATATTATGCTAGAACTTTCCGTGTTTCAGCAAAACAGTGGTTATTTTTCAATTACTTTGCAAACGCTAGTTATTTTTTGATTATCAATCCGAAAACTAGCACCCCATGCTATTTTCACAATAAAAAGAGAAAAGAGAGTCTTATGTGAAAAATTAAAGGGTACCTTCGTATTAGATTACGTAAGTTAATTTTCTGATCAAACAAGTAAAAATTGTCATCCCCCCCCCC